TTTTATTCCACAGCTGACCTGCTAAAGATGACAGATTTTCTTTTCTGGATCTCTGACAGACGGACTTCAATCTCTGAACTCGTAAAGTTCTTCTTTTTAGTTTTCGCTGTCATTTTCATGAATGAACACTTCCTGATATCTGAGGCAGGAAACAGCCTTATATGGTGTTTTTGGGGTGGTAATTATGCTAATCTCCTCTCCTTGTACACGAGCAGCTGGATACGAACAGATGGAATTTACGCAGCTCATTTACACACTTTTCCTGAAGATAGAAGAGTTTGTTGAATCTGACGTGACATGTTCGTACGAACCCTTTGTACGAACAAAAGTAAGAGAAATTTAGGATAAGAATGGGAACATGTTCCTGCATGAGGCCCATTGTGTTTTAGATTTCACAGACACCGTGGTATACAGTTGGTTCAGTGTAACATTTATTATTAAGCCACAAAACTTTATGTTGAACTTCAGCACATTAGGGGCTGTGGTGGACTTCACAAAGCTCACATTATAGAGGTTTCTGTGAACCTCCCAGCTTTTACCTTTTTTGGCACGGCCCAAACATTTATAGATTTTCGGGGCAGTAGAAGTACCTTTTAGTGCTGCCACATTTTTTTACACTTGTCTCTTTCTTTCCACATGTGCCTCTCTGCTGATTTTTCTCTCTCTACGTTTCACACGCCCTGCTACTTTTCCAAACTCCATGCCTTGCTGCACCCCCACCCCCACCGCCACCATCCAGCCGCTCTCTCACACAGAGTTGTGAAGTAAAAGCTCACCCTGTGTCGTGCAAGCTGTTAGTCTCCCCTCTCATTTCATCTGCCTCCCCTTCCCTTCTCTCTGCTGCCCCCCCCCACTCCCCCTCCCCAGAATGTTTGGATAGATCTAAATGGTGTGATTGTGACTGCTCCGCTGGTCGTCTCTTTTGGAAAGTCTGACGTTAGAGGGAGAGGAAGAAGGGAAAAGGCAGAGGGAATGTTTTAAACAACAAGGCATGGCGTCCCTCCAGAGACCCCAGTCTGGTGTCAGGAGTCTCTTCTTCAACACGTCCATCCTTCTCACTCTTTATTCCTCGTATTCTCCCACACACTCTTTTTAAACTCGTCTCTCATCTTCAGCTTGTTGTCTCGTGTTTCTCATCTTTGTTTTTTAAATCAGGCCCTACTTTCTCTGAACACTTTAGTGGAGGTTGTCAGGGGGGGGGTTGCTGGTGCACAAGAGATGCAAAACCTCTGAATCTAGGGCTCTCGTTTACCCAGGGAGGTGTCCTGTTGCGTTTTCGACGCTCCGTGCTGGTTTCGTGTGTCACGGCATTCAAAGGGCCCGGGCTAAAGAATGTGGGTCATTTGAAGTAGACGCACTAAAGTGTGTTGTTTGCCAGTGAATGGAGCCTTCTCACGTTGACATGGTGAAAAGCGTGTGAATAAACACCATCGCCTGGGGGCCACACTAAAGTGTTCGGCTGTATTCTCCTCCGTACCCCACCTACACAGGCCTGTTATTATCTGTCACATGAATGGGTTTCTGGGATCTCATCTGATACGACCAGGGCTGAAACCATTCCTCGAATAATTCGAGTAATTCTAGGGCTGGGCGGTATGACCCAAATTTTTTATCACGGTATTTTCAACAATTACACCGGTTTCATGATATTTGACAGTATTTTTTTCGTCACAGCTCAGCTGATAATAAAATGTACATTCTTTGCTTATTGACTTTTTTCTTTTACTGTACCTCTGTATCACTGTTTCCCTCCTTGTGTACGTCTTTTCTTCTTTGTCTGGTTGTAGACAGTAATCATGCATTTACTGTAGGTCAGATCGTGAAGGGTTGAGAAAAATCATTATCTGGTCTATCGTTGTGTGTTAATAAAACTTAAAGGGACGACTCACCTTGCACACCAGTCAACTCCACTACATTACGAAACTACTTACCCCCGGGCTTTTCACAATAAAAGCACGCTAGATTCTCCATGCAATAGCATCTCCAATATAACGAAGCACATTAAATCTAACCGTGCACGTCACTGAAGAGTTGTTTACTATTCAGCGATATTCAGCGATGGTGAAAACACTTTTTTTTTTTACGTCAGACCATATAAGCCACTGAAACACACCACCCGCCGCCAGTTGTTCCAACAATAACGTTAGCATGCTAATGCGCTTAGTGGTGCTGCGAGGAAACATGTCCTCAGGGAAACAGCGGCCACGACGAAACGTTGCGCACGTGTTCAGGCTATTTACACCGGTATTCAGAAAAGTCATATCATAACAAAAATAAAAACCGGTTTTCGGTACAAAACGGTATACCTCCCAGCACTAAGTAATTCGATTACAAAAAATCCTCCAGGCAAATTTATCTGCCTCCAAGCTTCGTAAAAAATACACGTTTACATGTTTTTTGTGTTACACCCAATGCTACTATGTTACCGCTTCCGCTAACAGTTAGCTGTCGAAGCGTCACGCGTGTATGCTTGCTAAGCGCTATATTTAGCTTCAGAAGAAGACGAAGAGTGCCGAAACGAAGCGCCCAAAAGACGACGAATTAAAAAAAAGTATAGGAACGTTTAAAACTAAACAGAAAAGACGACAACGTGCAGTACGCTTCACATCCGCGATGTTTGTGCCCCGGAACAAAAACACTGCTGCGTGTAACGAACATGTCCGGAGTTAAAGGGATCCCCGATTGGTTGTAACATTAGATTTTATATGATAAACATATACTTTAACTGTAAAATAAATACTGTAAAAATACTGTAGGCTGTTTAGTTTTTATCATTTTTAAACTAAAAGTTTAAAAATATATTACACGGACGGGGCCATTTTATTTACACGCAAAGCATTCTGGGTAAACGATGACATCAACTAGGTCATCGGTGCGAGGCTGCTAGTGAGCTATATCCACCCTGAAGGTTAATCTTGGACAATATCTGATGATCGACTCTTTTAAATGAAACCAGAGAGCGTTGACAGAGAGGAGAAGGTAGAAATGACTCAGCCTGGAACTGAAAATATGGATGGAGGACAACAGAGCTGCTTCATGGAAGAAGAACCTCAGCTTAGCGTGTTAGCTTTAGCATTAGCCCTGACGCTATCACCATATATATACATTAGCTCAGCGCTACACATTTTCCTCTCGTCACTGAGGTCCTCCATCCACATGACAGAGAGGGGAACACAAAAATGACTCTGTCTGCAACTGAAAATATGGATGGAGGACCTCAGTTTAGCTTGTTTGTCAAGCTAGCGCCGAGCTAACACATATCAGGCAATATAGCATGGGCGCTAGTGCAAAAGCTAACAGGCTAAGCTGAGGTTGTTCTTCCATGAAGCAGCTCTGTTGTCCTCCATCCATATTTTCAGTTCCAGGCTGAGTCATTTCTACCTTCTCCTCTCTGTCAACGCTCTCTGGTTTCATTTAAAAGAGTCGATCATCAGATATTGTCCAAGATTAACCTTCAGGGTGGATATAGCTCGCTAGCAGCCTCGCACTGAGGACCTATCCACGTCATCATTTACCCAGAATGCTTTGTGTGGAAATAAAATTGCTCCGTCCATGTTAAAATATATTTTAAAAATTTACAAAACTAAACAGCCTACAGTATTTTTACAATCTTATTTTACAGTTAAAATAAATGTTTATCAAATAAAGTCTAATGTTACAACTAATCGTGGATCCCTTTAACAACAGGTATCGTTCACTTTGCAAAATACGGTTACCTAAATCTGTGATAATCTGTCAGGTTACAGATGTATAAGGAGGAGGTATATTTAAGCAAACGTTATTTGTGCTGACTAATCATGATGGCAGGGTTTTATTAAACAGTGTGTAAGTTGTGTGATTAAAAACAAGACTTACTGTAAGTTTGTCAGATAAAAATAAAAGCACAGCAACAGATCGACAGCCTGAGCTGAAACATCTTCGTTGATATGTTTTTATCTTAGTTTAAATGAGATACTTGGAGTAAATATTTCAAGTTTAAAAGTATTTATAGAAGATAGTTGGATTTCTTTAATTATTTGCTGCTGCTTTTTATGATTTTAGCCTTCATTACTACGGTCAGATTCCTATTGCCTTAATGGGAGCCCTGCACCAACCTAATAACAGTCTTAAAAATTGTGAATTTTTTGTTACAATTAACAAGAGAATGCTACAAAACTAAATTGCAATACCCAAATGTTTATACTACCCATTTTACTTGCTAAATTTCTACCCCCCCCCCCCAAAAAAAAATAAATAAACAATAACAATAAATTTAAGCATTTAGATTTTTCTATGATGGTTAAAAATGATTAAATGACAGAGTGTTTTTAATTAATGCCTCCTCAAACCTTACATACATAAATACAAACAAATGGAGTTTAAAATGCATTAATTAATACAACTGGTGTAATTTTACTTTGATTGTAGCAGGGTCATCAGCAGGTGTATATTACCCCACCACAATATTAAATAATTGTATTTCTCATAAAACAAGATTAAATAATTACTGCAGAGCATGACAATTTTTTATATCCGATTACTCGATTAATCGTCAGAATAATCGATAGATTAATCGTTAGCTGCAGCCCTAGATACGACCATCAGTTGGTCTTATCAAGCTCTCCGTTTGTCCCACAGCGGAGGAAGCAGAAACCAGGAGAAGTAGATCATCATAATTAAATTTGTTTGCACGCTGCGCTCACTGTGTGTACGTTGGTGTATATGTCCATGTTCTGCACACACACTATCATGTTGCTTGTAGTTGTGAGGGGCTGCGTGGTTTCTTTAATTGCTTCCCCACAGCAGATGTTCCGATCAGATGGTTCACATTAAGTCAGAGATTGCTTACACAACGTTCCTTATGAAGATACGCTCCCTCCTTTACCGTCCTTCATCTCAGCCGTTCCACTGAGTGACTCTATATGTTGTGAACACAACCCGAAGAGAAATCAAAGCTCATTTTGTTTTCCTCCCTCTCTCTCTTTCTTTTTTTTATGGTCTCCCTGTCCTTGATGATGCAGGTGTTCGTGGCAGTGCTCCTCGTCGGGCCCGTTTGTCACGCAGCAGAACCGCCGGCGTCTCAGTGGTCTGGCGAGGATTCCAAGAACATCACGGTGCTCAGATTCCACCGGATCTGCCTGGAGAACGAGCAGTACCACCATCAGGGGCTCTGCTGCCTCAACTGCCAGGCTGGTAAGGATGGGAACGAGCCGGACACGGTTCCAGCGTTTCTCGTCTAAAAAACACAGAAATGAGTCATTTCCTCTTTTATCCTCTGCTGCAGCCAGAACCTTAGGGGCCAGTTTGAGCCAAAATGTGAACGGATCTAAAATCATGAGTTAATTCAGATTGTTTTAGAAATTTCATAAGATTAAGTTTTATTGCTGGCTATAAATTTAATTTGGCCAAGACAGTTTCTGTTAATGAGCCTCCACACAGCATGTAAATGTGTCAGATGAGATTCAGTTCAGCTTGGTGCTTTTCATCCAGTTTTTGGAGTTTTATAAGAAAACAGTATTTTTTTTATTGAGTTTTTGGCAGCAGTTTAATCCCTTTTATAACAGTAACTTTAGTTTCTAACTGAAACTAATGTTTGAGCTCTTAAACTTGCAGAGAAACAGCTGAATAATCATTTGTCACACACTTTTCTGTTCTTTTCAAGCAGCTTAATGTTAGTGTCTTGTTTCAAGTTTCAATATAACAAACATTTATAAAATTTACTGTAGTACGTATATCAGTTATATATGTCAATGTGCAGCTCGATCAGGAGTGTGTCCTGAGTTTTGGTAGCAGTATGACCTGAACAAACTTTATGCAAAATCTTGACTCTGTCATAAATAATGGTATTTATCCTGTTTCCAACCAGTTGTAGAGTGAATTCCTATCGAACTTTTCAAAATTTGCAAAAAATTAAATAAATAAAAATTTTGAATCTAGACTGTTTCCATCTAGTTTCCCTCTCGACTGTTTGATGCGAATAAACAAGGCTACACAACGCGTGATTACGTCAGACGTCGGCGACAAGCTTTGCGGTAGTAAACAGGAAGTGAAACTTGCTAACTAGCAGAGGCTAATCATCTCGGGACAATGGAGCGATTTTTTTCGTGAATGCCTTGCTATTGGGCAAGTTGTAATTATTCTATCTATTCAGCTACAGGCTATGTTTAACGCTGCCAGGAGACGTAGGGAAATAAACGCAATATTTTTGCACGTTTATGATAACATCCAGGACGAGGCAGGAAAACGGAAACAGCTGAACGTCATGTGAGGTAAATATGCGCTACGTCAGAATTTATTCGGCAAACGTGTTTCCATCTCCCGTTTTGCGCATTAACTACTTTGTGAATCATCCAAAAACCACCTCAAGCGAGCGTAAAAACTTTTTAGCGAATTGAGAATTTTTTTTTTCGAATTTTGCTGTTTCCATCTGACTTTTTTTCGCATTTTTAATGCGACACTTCTAAATGCGCATCAAAAAGCCTTGATGGAAACACGGTTATTGTTGTGAAACAGATGAGAAAACCTTTCCCACTTTGGAGCTCTGTAGCTCAGTCATATTTCACAGTAACCCTAACCCTAACAACATTCAGGGCTTCAATATTTCACAGAAACGTAGACTTTACATGATTGAGCTGATATTTTGAATACACTTTAGGTTTGGGTATTAATGGAAATTTTACCACAGAATGTTTTGAAAAGTTTGTTGATGTCGCTTACCAACTTTTTCAAAGTGTTTTCTAATGTTTTTTATTCCCACATGAGACATTCCTAAAATAATCACACCTGAATTTTTTTTTAAGTTTTTTGGTAAAGACAAAAAAACTTAACCAAAGGTTTACCATACGACTTCTTTTTAGATTGATTTGATTTGATTTATTTTATTTAACAGGAAAGATTATTAAAAATCAAGCCTGACTCAGCATAATTGCTTTTTTACAGCAAGTTCCTGTTCTGCAGCACATAAAACACTCAGAATTACAGCATCACAATCACATCATTATACACCATAGACACAAAGACAAACAAGCATACCAAATTTCAAAAAGGCAGCATTTGCAAAATAGGACGTCTAAATATGAGCACAACAAAAAGTGTCCAGCAGATGGCAGACAAGATTCTTCTTAAAGGGCTGTAGTTTTGAAATGGACTTTATGTTTTGAGGAATGTCATTCCATGCTTTAGTATAAACATAGAAGAAAGACCTCTGGCCGTAACAGTTTTTAAAAGTTGGTAATATCAGTTGTCCTTTTGTAACAGATCTAGTTGAATTCCTGACACGTTGGTGATTATTTTAGGAAGGTGTCGTTACCTATTCCACAGTTTATACAGGAAAATTATGGCTATTTATCAGCTTAGATTATCACAAAAGAAAGTCCCAAATTATATGGAAAAAGCTTGTTAAATGCCAATTTGACCCTTCATTCATTCATTCATTCATTTCATTTATTCATTTCATTTCATTAAAAATAAAATAAAATAAAAATAAAATACAAAATAAAAATACAATAAAATAAAATACAAACAAAAACAAAAAAACTAATAAAATTAAATAAAAGGCAGCAGAAAGAAGAAAAAAATCTTAAATCTGTGCCTTTCCTTCATCAAATATATTTACTAATAATAATCTTTATGCATCTTGACCCTTCAGCCTTCCTTCAGAAATAATCTTAATTTTAATATGTAGAAGTTATTAATCATTCTCAGTTATCCAGTTATTCCAAACTACATGACAGAAACTGTAGAAGTCAGCTTTATTCGTATAGCACAGTTCAACAGTGAATGTTTTGCACTTTAAGGAAATAAAATCAATTAAATGAGCAGAAATTTAAAAAATGTCAAATTAAAACCAATATTTCAATGTTTTAAACAGTTTAGAAATATCAGAACTGTGTGTGTTCATCACCTTAAAAGCTGAGAATGTAAATTATAATATTTACCCTCAGAACTCTTGAAGAGTTCCTGCACATCTTTAGCAAAAGTTTGGAATTTTAGTAATTTTCAAGTTGGGATAAGTATGTGAGGAAAACGAGGCATGAAAAACATCAGTTTTCAGATTTTTCTTACCAAGTGCATTTAAAAAAAATATATTTCTAAAAGAGGAACACAAAAACAACTATTTGCATTTTTGGTTCAGCAGTTTTTGCAAACTGAAACTCCTGATATTCTAAATGTACTGCATGGAAAACTAAAACTGTTTAACTGACTTAGAGGCTTAAATCTTTTATGTGTTTTTAGATTTGCACATTTGCAAGAAAGGAGTTCTGTGATTAAAAATAGTTTTGGCAGTTTCATCAGTAAAGGATAAATAATCGTATCTTTTGTAGTATGTAAAGTAAATAAAAACAAAACCTCTTAGAGAGGAGGAAAATAAAACTAATTTGACTAAAACAGACAGATCATCAAACAGCAAATCTGTCCAAACCCAGAAAGTTTCCCTACGTTCAGACATTTTTTTATGTCTAATAAGACTTCAAATGAACAGAAAACGTTCAAATGTTGAGTCTGGAGAGGTTTGGAATTTCAAAACAGACTGCAGGAAGCCTGGGTTTGGAAGGCGCTGTCCTCGCTCGTCACGTCTGGAAACACTGGGGGACGGCCAGGAGCCCAACGCAAACCCAGAGGAAAAACAGGGAGAAGTGCAGGATTTAAAGTCATTTTTTTACTCCCGAGCCGCTCAAAGCAAACGTTTTAATTAATCATGTTCATAATGTAATAAGGAGTTTCACGTTTTTCTCTGAGCTCACAATATAATTAAGTCCTGATGTAATTACTGCGCTCTGCTGTGACTCATTGGGTTATTTCATTCACCTCTCCGTTCTAAGAAATGCCCTGCTGTAATTCATCAAGTCAGGTTTGTTGATTTGTTTTTGTTTGTTTCTTAAAAGGAAACAACAGGCTCTTTGGTTCGTAAATGATCCCTAGAAAACTGCTAACTTTGTCCACTGACATTTGAATTAAATTGCATGCATTAATTTCTTGTGGCTTTTAGCCACAGGCTGGACAGATTTTCTTTCAAAGTAATATTTTATTTTTAGCTGATCTTTCCCTCTCTCATCCGTCCCACTTAAATGTCCCTTTAGTTGTTGCCACCGACTTAAAAGTTTTTGGTCAGTTCGAGTTCAACCAAAGATGTTTTTGTCCCGTGTAACATCCAACCCCAGTCTTTTTATTATTCTATTTGTACATCAGATAAATCCAGAGAACACATGAGAATCAAGTGGTTTGTCCTCACAACATGCTTGAACTGATCAGAGATAAGGGAGATAATCAGGCAGTGAAGTAGGTCAGATCTGTGTGTGCTTTAATGAAACTACTTCCATGAAATGGAGACACCGTGGAAAAAAAAGACGTTTTTAAAAACGAAACCTTCACAAATAAACACTCAGAAAACCAGCCTTAAACTACCTGCTGTAATCCCATCAGTTCACAGCTGTAATCCGTGTTAGACCTGCAGAAAACCTGCGACATTAATGAGGCTACAGCTGTCAGGACAGTCTGTGAGGTGTGCATGTGTTTATCATTGCTCTGGGTTTTGTTTGACGCAGGAACCTTCGTGCAGAAGCCCTGTGAAACAGACCAGGAGCAGGGAACGTGTGTGCCCTGCGAGCACGGACAGACCTACACGGAGCACTCCAACGGCATGAACCGCTGTTTACCCTGCACGCACTGCCGCCAAGGTAACCGCCTTTACTTCACACCCGGCATCATCACTTTACGTGAAACGGTCTTCAAATAAAGTGAAGCTGCTCGGTTTGTTTCAGTCGACTTCAGCTCGTCGTAGCTTGTTGATCAGCAGTCCACAGCCTCCTGCTTTCATTTTGAGTCTAAAACACTGACATAACCAGAAACATGCTTTGAACTTTGTGCAGCAAGTACCGTATTTATTCATGTTTAATACCATCTCATGTATAATACAACCCCCCCTTTTTTGAACTTAAAAAGCATAAAAAAATTAATCCTCAAACTACCTCCAATTTCATACAGACTTGAAGATTTTTCAGCCTTTGCAGTCTTTATACATATCAGTAAAATGATCATTGGACTGTTCATTTTATTTTAACAACATATGTACTAAAAGGTATTTTAACTACAAATATATATCAGCTGTAGCAGCATCATATGAATTCTGGTGTTTTACACATAGTCCACCAGGAGGCGCCAACACAAAAGTCAGAGACTTCACATGAGATTTGGACCATCTTGTGGGGGAAAAGCAGATTACTTCCTACTCACGAGCGCCCCCCCCCTCTGGTGAGGAAACTTTTTTTCAGGGATACAAACTTTTTCAGAACACCGGTAGACGGCAGCCATTACAGATGAACATGTGTTGTTGTTGTTCCAGGAGCGGCTCGATCACACGCTAATGTCATTAGTTTTGTTATCATTACTAAGATGCAGGACTACTTTCCCCCCCTTTTTTCACATCATGTCTCCTGCCTGGATCTGTTATTATCTCCCTCTGAAGCACAGAGGAGTGTCAGAGGTGAGCTCGTTTCAACTGCTTTTTACAACACGGTCTCATTTCCGGACTCAATAATTTTGTGAATGAAGCCGATATTTCAGTTAAAATACATAAGTAAAAATATTTATCTGAGTATAGTACTACCCCCCAACTTTATGGATGATTTTGTGGATTAAATTTTACGTATTATACTTGAATTAATACGGTAGCTACTTTGCTGCTCAGTAGAAAAAAAACATAGTTTCTCTGTATTCTGTGTCCTCGGACAGATTATTTGTGTCAGGTTGAACAACGAGAAACTTTGATCAGATTTCTTGTGTTGATTTAAAAGAAAAGAATAATCCAACACCTCAGTGAGTCTCCTCTTAATTCAATGCTTTTAAAACGGAGGAAAGCGCAGATTGGATCAGATAGTCCTTGTTGTCAAAGATCTGTTGTTTTAGGACAGTTGATCCGTCTTTGTGCCCCCCCCCCCCCTCCTTTCACAGCCACTCATGAAAATGGGGTCTTATGATGTTACACAGAGCAGCAGGGTGTGTCTTTGTTGTTTTTGTTTGGTGGGCTGAATGCGAGTGTTTCTCGTCTCTGGAGGTTTGCTTGTGCGTCGGTCTTACCTGGCTGAGCTGGGTGGGGCTGTGTGCCATTGTCTCCCTACACTGGGGTGTCTTTGTGTCCTCTGAAAGGCTTCAGAAAAAGAGACTCCTGTTACACGGGACGTGTCTCTACTCACTTATTGCAGTTTTAAAACTGAGGAAAGGGTTTTTTATTTTGTTGTTGTTATGTGTGTGTGATTCCTGACAGTGTGATGCTTCAGTTTTTAGTTCAACAAACATGAGTACAGTATAAGTGCATTGTGTAAATGCGCCAAATTTAGCTGCACAAGCTGAATATAGCTGAAAGGTGTTTGATGATTTAACCTGCAGCTGACTGGGTGTTTGTCTAATTTAATCTGGTGTCTTGTTGTTAAATCTTTAATTTTCTGACCTTTAAATCCCACCAGTTCCTTCTAAGATCCCCTCAATTTGTTACCTTGTAAAATAAAATTTGCTCACTCAAGTTAAGCTGTTTTAATCTTACCTGGAATTTATCAATTCCACCTCCTTTAAATATCTAAAAAAAACTTATTTATTATTACATTTTTTCCTGTTTATATATCTTTTGGACATTTTTGCAATCAAACTACTTTTGCATACTTTTCACTATTTTAACCGTTAATATCTTAAAACATCCAACTTGACTGGAAAAAGTCTGCTTTAATTTTAATATTTTTACTTTTTTATATTTTTTTAATTAACTTTGTTTACAAGACTTGTATTCATGGGTAAACAGAATTTGCCAATTCCTTTCTTTGTGTCCTCTCTCTGTTTTTCTGCAGGGTTCCTGCAGATCCTTAAAAAGTCTTAAAAGGCCTTGAATTCATCAATCCAAAATTAAGGCCTTAATTAGCCTTAAAATGTCTTAAATCAATATTTCAAACATCTTAAAAATGTTAAAACTTTGTAAGTAGGATGATTGTAATTCATCTCAAATATTAAAATAATTGTTAACATTTATTTATTTTTGTAAATATTCACATGCAGACATTCCTCTTTGACATCACTTCCTGTTAGTTTACATGCAAATATCTCAACAACTGTCCATCAATGTGAAATTTGTTTTGTAATATGTTAATGTTGCCAAAAATGCATCACTTTTCTTACAGTACAATAGATGTCACAGGCACATTAAGGTTTGATGTACAGCAAATTGGGGTTTAGACCCCACTGTGGGTCCTAAAACTCCAAATTTTGGGTCGTTAGAGGATTTCCAGAAATTAAGTAAAGTTTAAAACTGACTGCTAATAATGTTTCTGTATGGATAAAAATAGGGATGCTCGATATATCTGTATTGATATCGGTATCGGCCGATATTGTCAATTTTTTAGAATATCAGTATCGGTCCGATATGTAAAACTGGGCCCATATTAACGTCCGATATTGATTTCCCCTTTTTTATCTTTTGTGTTTCTGTTTTGGGAGGGGGGATGGTTGGTTCATTGGTATCTGTTTGATCATAATAGTGAAAATGACGCTACGTAACCAGGAATAACTGAAGTAGAGTCATGTCAGAGGTCTGGTTGTTTATTTACGGTATCAACAAAAGACCTAAGTGTGTTTGTGTGTATATGTATGCTATAATTTGTGTGTTTGTGTAATATCGGTAAATATCGGTTATCGGCCATAACACCAATAATTATATCTATATCGGCTGAAATTTTCATATCGGTGCCTCCCTAGATAAAAACAGTCTATTAGCAATATTTGAATACTTCAACCAAAAATACTTTGGTTCATGAGTTTCTGCCACAGATTTTATTTATGTATTTTTTTGTCATTTGTGTTTATTATTAAACTGGTCTTAAATTTAATTTCACCTGGCATTAAAAAGTCTTAAAAAGTCTTAAATTTAACTTTCCTTAAAATGTAGGAACGCTGTTCTTTTCAAACGCATCTGCATTTAGCTAATGTTTTGCTCATTTTAGCTTTTAACGGCTGTTTTGATCATTTTAGCCTCGTGCAAACCTCAAACGAAGAGATAAAATATTTAATAAGAACAAAAACAAGAATAAATCTCGTGTTAGTTTTGGTCAAAGCTTCAAAGAGCCGCTGCAGAGGGACCACATATATACGTATGGTCATATATACAGTAAATATGGGCCCTGGAGCCACAGGTTTCAGAGCCCTGCATTAACCTGAACCAGCCAGCCGGAGCTCCAATATAAACCTGAACATGTTAGAGGAGACCTCTGTGCCATGTTAGGATGCCCCAGCATGATCAACCCTTTTTAATTATTTGGTTTTGAAAGTTTGTCACACTGAGAACTTTGTGCACTCAGACTGAACCCAAGTGTTTTCTGGAACACTGGAGACTTTGCTGTTGGGAGCTCTTCTTATTGGTTTAATACATGATTTATGGTGTCACATTGAGAAGCTTTGCTTGAGGTTTTTCAAGTTTTCTGGGTCTTGTTAAAGTTTTTTCACCACCGACTGATATTGTAGGTTATTCAGAGCTTGTTAAGATTTTATAGCACAAATCACATCAGCTGAATGAAATATTTATCTGCAAATTAGAGGGAAATATCGCTCTGATGATCAAATTCTGTGATACAGACTCACTCTGAGCACACATGAGAATTTCATGAGGTGGCGTCATCCTCATATTCCTCAGTTCTCCTGCTGCTTTGTTTACAAATATTCGTAGAAGTTCTCTGTATGTACTGTAGTCAGCTGTCACTACACATCTGTCTGATTACGCAATTCTAATACAAAAAGTTGAATTAATTAAAGGAAAGGAATTCATATTGCCCGCCAAAAAATCAAACAACTGTCCGGCAAGACCTGTTTGTGCTTGGAGTATGTGTTGGAGCAGAGTTGTAAAGTAACTACGTACAAATACTTTATTACTGTACTTAATAGGGGTGCAACAATACAGAAAATTTACGATTTGGTTCGGTTCGATACTTTAGTCTCACGGTTCAATATTTTTTCGATACAAAAAAAGATAAATTTCCATGCCCCTTTTAACTTGTAATTTATTTATATTAATTATGAACATTTGTTTAACCTCAAAAGTATAGTTTTTAAATTAAATGTTGCTGAAACAAGTTTCTCAGTGGATCTGTGCTCAAAAATGCAGCCTAGGTGGAGTAGTCGAACACAGATCCACTGATCCTTCAACACAGAGCATCTTCAGAAGACAAGCAGATAAAGTTAATTTTAAAAACCTGTATTGTTCCATACAAGTGTGTATTGAGCCTAAAGCACTGTTCGATACGGGTACATGTATTGTTGCACCCGTAGTACTTAAGTAGAATTTTTGGGTATCTGTACTTCACTTGAGTAATTATTTTTCAGCCTACTTTTTACTTCTACTTCTTACATTTTCACACAATTATCTGTACTTTCTACTCCTTACATTTTTTTAAAAAAGGCAAGAAGTAGAAAGTCGTTACTTTTATTTCATTTTTGCTTGTTTTAATTCCAGCTTGTTTTTGTAAAAAATAAATACTACATAAATAATAATAATACATAAATACATATAAACTGTGGCTTCTAGATAGAATGAATTTAATTGTGGTTGAATAAGTATAAGAATATAAAATTCTGGTACTGTTTGTGACATGATTTGTACACAAACAAATCATGTCACACTCCAGCAGGACATAATCATTAAAAT